GCCCACCTGTGCCACAGACTGAGACTTGGCTGCCGTGAAATGCACTTTGCCCGCCAGCATATGCGCAACAATAACAACAATGAACACAAAATACACCTTAAGCGTGCCCCACAATTGGTTTACAAATTACGCTAAACGAATACCCAAAGGATTCAAGGCAACTTTTCATATTTTCCATGATTTAATCCAACACTCGAACAGCTTTAACATTTTTGCATATTCCCAACTGTGGCAAATCTTATCTCAGACGATTAGCTTTACCTTTGCGAAGACAAATTCTAGAAAAAAGCATTGATAAAAGTCCAGAACCTGTGGTTTTCCTTCTGTCTGCTGTGTTGTGGCTTCATGCACTTCCCAAGGGCAGCTGCTGGTTGCGACTCAACGCGGCTGAGCCTGATCCTGTCAATCGACTGGCAAAGGAAGAGCAGCCATTGGCAGCCAACCCTAATTCCCTTATAGCGTTGGCGTTCCGCCCCAAAACGATGGAGACTCCAGCTCTTCACTCGGTTTGCCTTGCATTTTCGCATTTCCGATCGGTGTACGTCAATTTTTTTCCATACTGCAATGTCAAAGTCTGGCGCTTGATTGATTTTTTTTTTTTTTGCTGGCGGTGTTGGGTGGTTCCGCTGCCACCGCTCCTGCTGCTGCTGCTGTTGCCTCTGTCATTGTCGCAGTCAACGTCATGGTGGCATGGCGGCATGGCGTGGCGTGGTTGTCGTTGCTTGGCATATCGCGTAATAATAGCTATGCCTCTGGCTTCACTCCAGCCATTGCCAGTGGCTCCCGCTCCTGCTACTTCCACTGCCAGGACCGGAGCCCCACCTTGTACCCACTTCAGATTGGGCCGCGGGCACTTGGCAGGCCGCACTTAGCGTGGTCGTTGTTGTTGTTGTTGTTGTTGCTGTTGTCGTTTTGTTTGATAACATCGTCTAGCAACGTGTCTGGCAACCCGTGTGACGTAAGCCCCACTCAACCGTCCACCCACTCAACACCGCCCAACCACTCGCTCTCATGCATGCATTGTGAACTCGCTCTCTCCCTCTCTGCTCTCTTTCTCTTTACGGCGCCTTTGGCATAATCAGTTGCAAAAATTTGACACGCCGAACATTGGCAGGAGTAAAAAGCGTGCGTTGGTCCCTCCCCTCCTGCTTCTAACAGCGCCATTTTCCAGGGCCATTTTGCTCATGTACATGAATGGCAGATGAGAGATGGTGATGTGTGTGTGTGTGTGTGCGTTATTTGCATATCTGTTTTTGATTTTTGTCGCTCATGGCGTCTATTCAATTTGACGTGCCGCTCGGATGCTCAGCAGCCAACCAACACGCCTCGCCTCACGGTCCAATGAAATCAATAAATCTGCTCCACTGTTTGAATCCAATTTATCACTTTGCAGCCACAGCAGCAGCAGCAGCGGCAGCGGCAGCAGCAGGCACCCATTTTCTCCATTTTCCATGCTCCCCACTCGTTCCACTTTTGCGTGCAACGACACGCCCACAGACGCGCGGCTTATCCTCCTCCAACGATGTGCATACAAGTTTATTATTAGGACCATACGGCTGCTCTGGCTGTGGCTGTTGCTCTGGCTCTGGCTCAGGCTGTTGCTGCTGCTGTGGCGTATGCCGTATGAGTGATGTGGCGCGCGGGGCATTAATGGCCTGGCAATTTCTTTTGCCAACCGTAAATGGAAAGAAAGAACCGTATGCTCAACAGTGTATGGATGGATGGCATGGCTGCCTCTTGGCTGCCACTGGGCTTGGTCCTGGGCGGCAGTCAATAATGAAATTTAGCGAAATACTCGAGCGCACACAAAAGACGCGTTCGAGTCCTGCGGCGTTTTGGATTTTCCCGGCGAATTGTGTTGACGGCAACGGCTTTGCATATTTTACAGCGCCCGAGCCATCCAGCCATGTGCCGAAATGTTTTGTGCGCGCTTAAATTGCGGAAGTGATAAACCGGCGGCTCCGGTCCAGGAAGCATTTTAATATTTGGAGTTTTACGCAAAAGGCAGCCAAACAAACCCAAGCAAGAAGTCGGCCCTGCCCACTGCATTCCCCCTGTACGAAAGAGACAACAGAGAGACAAGAGAAAACAACACAATTCTTTTTTTTTTATTTTTTTATTTTTTTACATTAAATATATTTAGATGGTTTTTCCTTTTCAAAATTGTTTTCTGGGTTTTTCTGTCGAGTGACCCCCAAAACGGTGAAGCAGACGCATGCAGTACGGTACATGGCAGTGGGGGGATAGTCAGGCAATTGCCAGTAAAAGTAAATGTTAAGCAAAATATTGCAGTTGGAATGTGTTCTGGTTTCTGCATCACTTCCTTCTCCTCTTCCTCCTCCGCCAGCCGCTTGACGCTTGCTGCGTCTGACCGCAATAGCATTTTGGGGATCCCGCATTTTGGGTGGTTTTTTGTTGTTTTTGTTGTTTGAGGGTGACATTTCTGTTTGGGTTTTCAATTTAGCAAACTTCTTACATCAAGTACATTTATATTTTTCGGTTATACATTATTTGCTTCTGCTGCTGCATCGCATCGCTCTGTTCTGTGTACATTTAAGTTAAAATAATTAAGTAAGCTACATTTAGTTGTTTAATATTTAAAAATTACTATACTCGCTGCTGACTTCCATGCGCCGCTTAGTCATACAAAGACAAATCGTACAAGAGATTCAAACCAAACACATAAAGAAAACACAAACAGAAACAATCTCTAGCAATCTCTTAGGCAATACATCTGTATGTATCTTAGAGGAACACAACAAAATTCTTTGGTTTAAAATTTCACGAAATCTTACGCACTAAATATTAAATAAATTTTTCCGTTTTTGTTTTTTTTTTATTACAAGCATTTAATGCATTAGAATAGAGTGAGGCTAAATCATTTGAATCATTCGCTCGACTCCTGTAGGCATTCGCTGTGGGGAGGCAACTGAAACTTCTGCATTCACAATTCATTCAATCGGATCAATCATGATCAAATGAGTATACGACAGCTTCAAAAGGGAAATGAGTGAGCTTAGACTAGAAGTTTACTTGTAGATTTTCACTTCACTTTTCTTTCACTTGGTTTTTTTCGTCTTCTTATTTTATTTTATTTTATTTACTTTTCTGCACATTTATAATTTACCATTTTTTTGTGGGGTGTTCTGTGTGTGTTTAGTTTTTCTTATGAGCTAATCAAAACACTAAATACATTTATCCTTATATCCATTTGCTTAAAATAGTTCTGTGTGAGTGTGTCATCTCATCTATTTTTCTTGAATTCGTTTCTGCCACAAGTGTCTCATGTCTCTCGCTGTCTGCTTTCCTTGCTCTTCCACTGTCTGTGTGTTGGGCTTTTCTTTTCGGCTGCTATTTTCTTTTCTTTTCCACTTTTCACTTATCTGCTGATTGTCCACTAAAACTATGCTTGCTCCTTTATGCTCCTTGCGTTCTACTTGTTTCTGTTCTCTGGTCTCTGCTATGCCTTTCAGCTGCTATTCTCTTTTTTTTTCTATGAGTTTTGTAGGCAACATTTCATCTGTTTTTTTTTTTTTGGTTTAGTTTATGAATTATTAAACACATTAATCAAAACAGTTGGATGTATTTTTTTGGGGTTTTAGTTTGTTATTTTTTTTAAATTTAAATGTTTAAATCATAGTTTTGTGCATAAGTAATTGTATAAATGTATAATAAATTGTCAAATAAATATGCATTAATATGCATTTCAATATTAATTCGAATGCACGACGGACCCTGTCATTCTTATTTCGGTTTTACGGTTTTCTATGTTTGCTTTTTCACTGTGTGTGTGTTTTCCCCATATAAATGGCATTACCCTTTCCTTCCCCCCCTGCTGTTTGCATTCATTATACAATTACAAATACAATTAGACATACAGTACAGTATCCTTTTTTTTTTTTAGTTATATATATTTTATATATGGTTTTTGTTTTGTTTTTGTTGTATATATTAGCATAATTTACCTTTATATATTCAGTCTTAAGCTACAAAAATCGTTATGCATATTTCTGTTTTTTTTTGTTGTTGTGTTTTTCAGTTTTTATTTTTTTTATTTTTCTGGGTTTCTGGATTTCTGTTTTCTGGGTCTCTTCACTTCTGTGTTGTTTTGTTTATCCTATTATGTTGTTGTTGTTGTTTTTATTTTTGTATTATTTATTTTTAAGTTCAATCTATTCAAATGAGTTTTATATAAATTCGCAATGTGTGTGTATTTTTTAAAATTTTATTTCCACTCATATTTATATTTTCGGTTCAAGCAAAAGTAAAAGTGAAGCAGAAAATATTTTAGTGTAGTTGCCACAGGAAATCTCATCTTCTCTTTCTCTGGGTGGTGTGGTGCAGTGGGGGGAGTGTGGGGAAATTTCAGGCGACAGTTGTTGTTTGTAGGGGATAGCAAAGCAAAGCACTTACAGACTAAAAAGCAGACTCTTAAACTCTAATGAGTACTGGACCGACCCTTCAGTGCACTTTGCCAGCAGGGTCGGGTCTTTCATTACACTTATCGGCTATCGTTATCGTTATCAACTATCGACTAACAGCTAATCTGTGCCATCAGTTTTATCGATGCAACTTTCAGCGGTTTCTGCGTTTATCTTACAGGCATGCCTCATATTTTTCATTCGGTTTGCAGTGGCCACGGCCACTCTGTGTCTCTGTCTCCTACCCTAAGACGTTTAGCGCTTTCCAAGTTTCACTGTACTTGTTTTGACTGTATTGTTTTTTGTTTTTTGGTTTTTTTTGGTTTTTTGTTTTACTGTAGAACGAAATTATGTATGGCTATATCTCTGTTAAACTATAATCTATGTAGTAGAGTGTATCTATGCATCTTTTGGTTTTCTGTTTTGTCTCCTGTGGTTTTTCTTTAGTTTTTACTATAGTTTTTGAGTGTTTTTCTCTTTAAATGAAACGCCAGTTTGCTCGGAGGTTCAATCAATCAATTAGTTTCGGTATTGTAGAAGTTTTTGTTTGGTTTCTTTGGGATTCTCTGCTGTTGCTGTTGCTGTTGTTTTCTGAAGTTCTAGGTTTTAGGATCGAAAGTCGAGTAGTCGTAACATTACAGCTAACATTAGCTAGGATTATAGTAGAAGGTTTTTAATCGAATTTTCGTTTCGGTTTCGGTTTCTGTTTCTGTTTTTTTTTTTTACATATTTACAAAGACATTTGTTTGCTCTCTAGGCTTATATCGCTCGTGTTGCATGAAGCTCGTTTCCAAAGGGTTTCCGTTTCCACTCTGTTCGCAGTCAGCCGCTGCCGCTGCCGCTGCTGCTGCTGCCGTGGGATGAAGGCTCTCGAGTATGTACAATAAATAACCAAACTGAATGCAGAATACAGACGAAGCGTTCTCAAACGAGCAGAATTGCAGTTCATCGCAGCCGAATCAACCCCGACTGATCGCCACCGCCAGCAGGCAAAGGAGAATCAGTCCCGAGAGCAGATCCTGTCGCGGGGCACCGCTCAACGGCGAATCCTGTACATTGCTGCGCACATCCATGAGATCGCGGGACAGGGGCAGCTCGGTGGGATCGCTCAGCTCGTCGTGGCAGGGCAGCATCTCGGGCTTCAGCAGGAATAGTCGCACATAGATCGTGTTCTTGTTGGCCAGGGCATCGATGGAGTCCGCCCCAGTGGCTGACGACTGATGGGGCCCCATCAGCACCTCCACATCGTTGTGATTCGTTCCGGTGGCCGTGCCCGGGCTGTAGAAGGAGCCCCCCTGCTTATGCAGATTCAGATTATCGTCGAGGTCATGGCCCAGCGCCAGTCCCAGTCCTCCATTGACATCGTCGTAGTAGTCGTACCGCTTGTGGGTGGGCGCCACGGCAGCCAGTTGCCCCTTTGCCAGCTCCTTCTCCTGCTGCTGCTGCTCCTGCTGCCTCTTGCGTCGCATCTTACCCTCCACCACATTCTCGGCCGCAAACTGTCGCTGTCCGCGTAATGCCTGACGGGATTTGCTCGTCGTATGCTTGCGGGAGGATCCACCGCCGATGCTCAGGTCGTCCAGGCTGCTGTAGCTGCTGCCCACCACGCTGTTGCCGATGCCGCCCATGCTGGCGCTATTGCTGCCGATGGCCGTGAAGCCGCCAACGTTCAACAAATCCAGAATTGTCGATGGCACTGGGTCCACGAAATGCGACAGCTTCGGGTCTGGCAGCGAGCAGTGCAGCTCATCCAGCGAGTCACGCAGCTGCAGGTGACGTGTGCGATTTTTCAATTCAAAGATCCATTGTAGACGACAGTCGCAAATGAATTTGTTGTCTGTTCAGAGGCAAGATGAAAAAAAAGGAAGCAGAAAGAGAGTTTGGGGGTTAGCTTCGATTTATATTGCAGGCACACACATTGCCAGCTCTCTGCTGTCCGAAGCTTCTGCTGGCGGTTGTCTGCTGGCTGCTGTCTGTTGACTGTCTGCATTTTGTGCTTGCCATGAAATTGCTTTTGTCGTCAGTCACCGTCCCGTCCCGTCCCACACCCCTGCCTCTTGTCTGTGCCGCGTGGCAGGTGAGAGAGCGCACCCTAGACGAGGCCCAGCAGCAGAAGCAGCTGTTAAGTGGCCAAGACTGCAACAATTGGCTGTCATTTGATGGGCGATTTTCCCCAGCTCTAACTCCGTTCTCCATCTTCAGCTTCGATGAGCCCTGCCTGCCTGACTGCCTGCCTGCCAGTCGTTTTAAATGATTTTTCCCCTGCCAATCGACAATCGAAGCTGCAGTTTTGGAGTTGGAGATGTCATTGGGACCGGTGCTGCTGCTGTTAAACGCCTCAATGACATTTCCAATTTAGACAGAATCCCAACCCAAGCCCAGACACGACTCTTGTCCCGTCTATTGGCCTGCGTCTGTCATTCAGGACTCCTGGCTACTGCCTTCTGCCTCGCTGCCTCGCTGCCCACACTCTGTTGTCAATTATTTTGCAGTAGTCTGGCCGGCCATGCGTTCCCTTTCAATTTGCTGTTTGGTTTAGTGGCGGAGTTTGCCCCTCAAATTGAGCGGATAAACAAGTGCCAGAGTTCCCGGAGTGCCCGAAGTGCCGGGTAGTAGGATCGCAAATAATCACCGACAATGCTCTAATGAATAAATCAAATTACGATTCAATGAGTTTTCCCAAGCAAAACTTCTTCCTCGTTTTGCCATTTTCCCTTATTTAAGGGAGGAGCGGTTGATAATGAGCTGCCAGCCCCAACCCAGTCGGAGGGTTTACTGACCTTCTCTGCCGATTATCCATCTCTCTCTGTCTCTGGGGTATAATTAGGCCCCGAAACACACTCCAACTATGTGTGTGACACAGTTTACCATGTCAGCATGTCGCATAATTAGCATAAACGTTACGAAAAATATTGACTAACACAGGGTTAGCATAGATGCTTACATATGTATATGTATATGGGACGGGACGGAAAGGGACTTGGGTTCTTGCAACATCATTATCAATGCACACACACACACACGCACAAAGGCATGAGGAGACGGAGACACATAAAAGAGTGAAGCTACTTCACATTCAGTCAGCCAATTGAGTTGGCATATGAGCCAGTTCCCCTTTCTCCCATTTCTCCTTTGGGTACTATGACAATAATAATCCGTGGCATATTTTTGTAGCAAAGCCAAAAAGTTGCCGCCCAAAAATGACAAAAGGAAAACTTTTCTTTTCCCCACGCCCCCTTTACAACCCACAAAAATAGTTGGCAAATTAGTGCAGGGGGCTGAAACCCAGACAATGACAACGACAACGAGGACGAGGATGAGGGACCAAGGAAATGGCAAGACAAAGTCAAAAATTCTAATTTTCCATATGAAAGCATGCAAAAACCATAAATAAAGTTAAATATGCATACAGGCAGAGACAGACACAGACACAGACAGAGTGACAGAGAGGAAAAGAGGAAGAGAGTGCGAGACAGAGACACTTGCCTGAGACTCTTGGAAGCAAAGCCCGGAAAAATGTTGGGTGGGGTAAAATGGCCAACGACTTGGCAACATTTAGCAGGCAAATTACAACAAAATTAACATGATAATGAAGTGGCACACTGTGCAACAGAAAGGGGATGGGCAGGCGAGGCTGAGATGGTTCCAGCGAGGGGTAGTGGGGCATAGGGGTAAGAGGGTATGAGGTTAAGAGCGCTGAAAACTGGCAGCTGTTTGCATGCAGCTGACCAAATGACAATGACGTTGCCCCCTCTACACAGACAAAACAGCAAAGAAAAAAAAAATAAAGAAAAAAATAGTGCTTAAAAAATAGAAATTACACAGAGAAAATAAAGGACAAAAAGTAGTAGGACGACACAAACACACACACACACAATCCTTCTACTATCTATATGTGTGTATGTGTGTGTATCTGTGACACTGTCTGTGTATCTGTGTGACATAAAATACTTTTATATTTTTAATGATACTTGGGCCAAAAGCGGTAGGAAGTGTTTTGGTCTGCTGCACACACTGCTCCACAGCACTACCCCGCCCTCCATCACTCTGGCATGCAATGAACTTACCAGAGAACCCCCCACGCCCCCCTGGAACGACCACTTATGTACACACACATGTATGTATGTATGTGTAGAAATGCGGCTGTTAGTCAACTAGATGACTTTCAACTCTGCCACTGCCTCCTGCCTCCTGCAGCATGAGGTTGTAGCTTTTCCTTCGCCTTTTTTGGGTTATACTCGTAGCAGGAACTGCCGGAAACGTTTTTACGGTTTGCAAAGGACATTTACATACAGTGGGAGAGAGAGAGGGAGACTGCCCCTCCACTCTAATAGAGGAACCCTCCTCCCCCGCACATATGCATATGCGTCTGTGTGTACATTAAATTTTATTATTGTCATTTTCCATGAACGAAACGGACCTCAGCTCTCTCTCTCTCTCTCCATACCACACTCCGTGCTTCCTTCCCTTTCCCCTCATAACTTTTTGGTCAGCAATATTTTCATAAGTGCATACGTATATCTGTATGTGTGTGTGTGTGCGGGGGGAGTGTATCTATGTGGCAGCCCCAAATTAGAACTGGAACTTTGTTTGGCCAGTTTTAATGCCAATGTGTCGTCGTCGTCGTCGTCGTCATCGTCATCGTCTGTGAGGCATTTTCATGTGTTGAAACATATTCATAATTAGTCCCTCCCCCAGCCACCCTCTTAGAATGTTTATTTTCGTTTTCTTTCTTTTACAGAGTAGCTTAACATACTCAGAGATACTTTAAAGGGGAGCGCTAGATGAAGCCTGATTGGTTGAGGGTTTTCTCGGTCATTCTTTTAGGGTGAGGAATTTGCTACCAAAGTTTCTTGCTGCTGCTCCCCTCCCGCTCATAATGAGCCCCTGGACAAGCGGGTTGTCATACAGCAAATTTTCTAGCCGCCTCTTTCGACCTTTTAAATGGCATTTCATTAGCCATCCGCCAGCAGTGCCGTGGCAGTCCAGTGGCAGCCTCCCTTCAGTGGTAAAAGCAAAACATTTATTTTAAATTTAATACACTAAACACAAACACACACACAGATACGCACACGCATACACTTGCACACACAAAAGATACAAAGGAGAGAGGGCGACAGAACAGAGTAAAAATACGCTTTAATTGGTTGGTTTTAGGTGCTGCCGTTGTCCGTGCCGCAGACCCCGCCTCCCCTGCCACATTAACCAAAACTGGGCACTGCTGTATTTTTTTTCTGGTCTCCCTTTTTTCGTATATTGAAAAGCGCAAAGAAATCGCAGCTACCATCCATGAGGTTTTTCCTCAAATATCAACACAAACGCCCCCAAAATCAGGCAGCAGGCGCCCCCACAACTGCTGGCCTAGTTCCTGGCTTTTGTTTCACTCCGGACTTCAATTCCCCAGAACCACAGCACGCCCCCTCGCTCCTGCAGCAGGGGAAAAGGAAAGGGGTTGCGTTCGGGGTGCGGGGTCACAATGAATGCCGCAGCCCAGCGCAACGCGAGCGGCAGCTTTGTTTGAAATCAGCTCATTTTTGGTGGACAGTACAGAAGAGAAGGGGAGGGAGGGAGTAGGAGCCAACTGGCCAACACGGTGGCTACTGGCCAACTGGGAACTGGGTTCGTTTGCGGCCTGCTCTTCCCTGCTCTGCCTTTGGCTGCTCTATGTGTGACCCAGCAACGGCGCCATCAGAGGCATCAGGGGACAGCACGCACAGTTAGCAAGTTTCAAGAGGAGACTCGATAGTCGAGAGTGGAGAGTGGGTAGTGGGTAGTGGAGTGGAGTCCCTTCTTGCTGCCGCCTCCTACGTGTGGGTGGGTGTGTTCTCTAGAGAATTTTATCATTTTTTATTACATTTCTCGAGAGCGCTATGTATGCAAATGAAGTCGAAAGTTTCGCTTTGTATATACTTGCTCCATGGTAGTGGCACAGCTAGTTGCTGTTGCTGCTGCCCCAGAGAGAGACGGAGTGAGTGAGTGAGAGAGTGATGATGAAGGTTGAGGCATCCGTCCGGTTGAGAGGCGTGAATTGGCTGGCTTGGAGGGGTTTCGAGTCCATTGGCTTTGGATACTCTTTCGTTCAGGTCAGGGAATGGTTAACTTTTAAGTCTGAATATATTTTAAGGAAATTGAATGAAGGAGAAATATTTTAGAATAAGTTGAATGAACTGGTTGAATGTTGCTAAAGGAAGAATCAGTGGAACATCAAAGTAGGCTAAGAAATGTCGTACAAAATATAATGATGATGCAGCTGAGAATTTCAATAAAATTATTTGCTAATTTTCTTGGTAGTTTTTGTTTGAACAAAAATTTCTGAGAATTGTTTCTGACAAGAACTGAATAATTATAGAATTTGCAGGACAATTTGAAAGACTTCTCGTATTAAGGCATAAAATTTAGCAATACAATTATTTTAGTTCAGGGAATTAGTTTCCCATTAGACTACGGAATCTTCCTCCCGTTGAAAGAGTGTTCAATCTCTCTACTTTCTGTCTCTAGGATCTCTTTCCCCCTCTTCGCATTCTCATCCTTACAGAAAAAGTTATTTTTTTTTCTGGTCAAGGGGAAGCAGTCTTCCCAATTGTGGAACCTTCTTCCAACAATCTTTTCTCCCTTCTTTTTTAATGAGCTTCAATTTCAGAGTTTTTTTCCACGTCCTTTTTTTTGGCCCTCTTTCCCGCTTGTTGGCTTGTTTTCCTGGCTTGTTATTGCTGTGTGTGTGTGATTTGGCTGGCTTTTTTGGCTCATTCGCATTGCGTGTATTTAATTTGGTTCTGGTTCCTCTTTCGGGCCCTTCTGCTGTTGCCAGTGCCAGGTCCCTGCAATTTTCACTAAGTT